GTCTTGGTGAGATGCAAAGTACCTCACTAAGTTGCTGAGGTTGGATTTGAACTCACAATCTCCTTCCTCAGCCTCCTGAACCCTGGGATCATAGGTGTGCGCCACTGTACCAGGCTTCTTTGTTATCTTTTGAAAAATATTTTTCTTGTCTAAATTCAGAGCAAAATTGATGCCAAGTGCCATGGCACATGCCTGTCATCCCAGCGACTTGGGAGGCTRAGGCAGGAGAATCAGAAGTTTAAGGCCAGCCTCAGCAATTTAGGGGGACCCTGTCTCAAAATAAGAAATAAAGAAAGCTGGGGGTGTGTCTCAGTGGCAGAGCGCCCCTGGATTCAATCCCCAGTATTGCAAAATAAATAAATACGACATAACTTTGCCTGGGTGGTTAAAATTGGATGAGGAATTTATAAACCTCCGCGTCTGACAGAGACACTGATTTAAAAGGCAGAGTCARGAGCTCACAGTTGAGAAACCTGACAGCCACCACCTAGGCAGGGATCAGAGGTCTGCAGTGCTGGGACAGAGGGACAGGGACACCAGCTGCCTCCTRAGCTGGTGCACCTAAGGGGAGAAGCACTGCCGTGGTTTCTGCAGCAGCAGGGACCTGACCAGGAGGCCTCATATCAGCCCGACTGAGGGGCGTCCCACAGAGTCCCGCAGGACAGACGGAGAGAAGAGAGCTGCCCGGGTCCCAGGGGGCTGAGAGGGGACGGCCAGATAGGAAGTGTGGCCTGGACTGGATCCTGGGCCAAAATACTGAGTTCAGAAAACAGAAAAAAATGCTGACTTTAATGTATGTACATACACTTTCCTTATCCATTAGGGACATCGGTGGGTCAGTTGGCAAAATACCAAATATGGAACTCCCATGTCCACAGGTGTGCGCACGTGCGTGCACACTCCCACACACACACACACACACACACACACACACACACACACCCAGACCCGTCATCTTTAATCTGCTAAAATCAAATGTAAGGCCTCAGAAGCAACCTTCAGTGGACTGACCTGTGGCCCCAGAGATAACCACCAGGTGCTCGTCGCCAGGTCCCATGAATGTCCCCTCCCCTGGCCACAGGCACTTCACAGATGTGACCAGTTAAGGATCTGGAGTGGGGACCCTCGGGATTGGCCGAGGGCTTATTTGACATCCGAGGAGTGAGCTCCTGGGCCCTGTTCCCAGAGGGCCAGAGGTGCCCAACAGGCGCCAAGCAGGACTGGCCCCTGCTCCCRTCCCGGGCTCCGCTGCCCTGGCCAGGCCCCCGCAGGGATGGTCCTGCAGCACTTGAGAGGACGGCGAGGCCCTCCCAGATCTTGGCTTCTGTGTGGGAAGGGGACAGTGATCAGCTCTGTGTGTGTGTGTTACCCAGGAGAGGCAGGGACAGGCTCAGGGGAGGGGCAGCCAGGCCACCACGGTGGGGTAGAGCAGGGGACGGCCGCCTGAGGCCCGAGCTGGAAAGGACATGGAGAAGGTCAGCCAGCTGCAGCAGAGTGAGGGAAGTGGTCAGGACAGGCTTGGGAGGTGCGTGGTGGCCGATCGCCAAGCTCTGGGTGTGTGATGTGAAGCCCCGGGAAGTTGGGTGAAGGAAGTCCAGGGGCCAAGAGGCAGGGAGGCCGGGGGCAGACTGACCGCAGTTCATGTGGGGACTGGGTGGCTGGGGTGACAGAAACTGCAGAGGCGACTGTTGGTGATTCTGTAGTTCATCCTAACATTGGGTAATAGACATACACACAAGTTGCCATTTTAAGACTGCAGCTTAGCGGTTTTGGGGCCTCCACCATGCGGTCACCTCGTCCATCTCCAGGACGTCCTCTTCCTAGGCACAAAGTCCACCCCCAGGAGGGGCAGTTGTGCATTGGCCCCTGCCCTAGGCGCTCCTGGTCCTCAAGCCTCCRGACCCAGGCTGGCCTCCACACGCGGGCTGTCCAGCTCTCAGGCCTCCGAGCCACACACTGGCCTGCGCTTGGCCAAGCAGCCCTGGACAGCAGATCCCTAGCCTGTGGCCCCAGCCCCGCCCCCGGCCGTGAGTCAGAGCTGCCCTGCACTCACCTAACCTAGGGTCGTTTCCGCCAGGCCACACCTATACAGTGGGCGCAGGTCGTGCCCTGGGGATCAGGAGGCTGGTCCTGCCCAGCTTTGCAGGAGAGGAGGGCCCTGCCTCTCACCAGCCGGAGAGAAGACAGGACCCAAAGCCGCCCCCACACCATCCTGACGCTGGGAGATGGGGCAGGGATGTCTGCGCACCTTTCAGGGCTCCCGTCCATCTGTCTGCCTGCACCTTTCTTCACGGAAGCTGCTGGTCTTCTCTTTCCATGTTCTGTTCTTGGCCCACAAGTACTGGATCTCAGTGCTGGTGACCGCAAGGTGGCAGGTCTGTGATTGGGTTGTGAGGCACCCTCCAGAAGCTCAGATGTGAGCCGGTGTAAGAATGTTCAGCCGGGTGCGGTGGCGCACACCTGTGATCCCAGCAGCTCAGGAGGCTGAGGCAGGAGGATGGTGAGTTCAAAGCCAGTCTCAGCAAAAGCGAGGCCCTAAGCAACTCAGTGAGACCCCCCCCCCAAAATAAATTACAAAATAGAGCTGGGGGGGCGTGGCTCAGTGGTCAGTGCCCCTGAGTTCAATCCCTGGTACCCCCTCACCCCAAAAACAGAAACGTTCAGAGGTGAAATGATCAGGTCACAAGAGATGGGACCTATTCAGTAGACGAAGCCACTGTCCACCTTGGGGGTTTATTAGGGTGGTAACTATAGGAGGCAGAGACGGGGAGGAGGTCATGGGCGGGGTGGGGGGCCACTGGCTTTGTGGTCTACATTTTGTCCCTGGGAGCAGAGCTCTCTGCCCCCTGGTTGCCGAGGCCGGAGAGCTCCTCCTCTCCACCGCCCTTGTCAGTGATCTGGTCGGAGTGACAGCAGAGCTGACTAACGCAGCCTCTCCCCGGTGTTGGCAGGAGTCACTCTCCAGAGTGCTGTCAGCAGTGTGTTTCAAGAACCTTTGTGTGCAGGTGTCCTGCCGGGGAGAGTCTGTCTCCTGGAAATGACCAAACATGCCCAGAGTATTTACCGTCACGGCCCTTGGTCGTAGCGCTGTTATTTATAATAGGAACAAAACCCCTCAATGATGTTACGGCTAAGCCAGGGTGTGCGTGGCGTAGAATATCATGTATTCACTTAAAGGTCATTTTTTTCAGGATCATTTAGTTGTATTTTGAGAAATGCTCAAAAATTAATGTTGGCTGGGGACGTGGCTCAAGCGGTAGCGCGCTCCTGGCATGCGCAGNGGTCCTCAAGCCTC